GATTTGTTCTAATAGTGTTTAGACAAGTATCCTATGTCTGCATCTTGTACTATGAATACTATGAAGACGACAATATGAAATGTATTAATTATTGTAATTGTCCTACTAACCTGTTTTGAAACTGTCTCATTTCTATTTCTTGCTCAATAAAATTAATAAAAAGGAAGCAATTACAGTAGGTGTTTTTTCTTTGACTTTAAACAACTTGTATAATGTTAGAATGATCTTTTACTGGGTTTTTAAAAACAGCCTTTGAAGTTAGGAAATCTCCTTTCTGAAATATGTGAAGTGCTTTACACTGAGAGATTTTTCTGTTTGTAGTGAAATTATTGGGCTTTTTTTCCTTTCTTAAATATTTTAATATGATAAATTATATTGGTATATTTTCTGACCCCAGTTTAGCTTCAAACCCCAGTCCTCCTGCCTTAGTCTTTGGGTGCTGGGCTTACAAGTTTGCACGAACACAACCACCTCAATCTTGCTTTTTTTGAAGTGATTTGGTCATGCTTTTAAATGTATTTATTGTTTTTGGTACTTTTTTTACTAATTATTTATGACATTGGTATCTAGGTTCATAAGTACAATTCTTCTATAAATTTCCCAGTTTGTATCCTTGATTACTTTTAATACCAAGGTTACATTAGCCTTACTAAATGAGCTGAGTGAAATGCTCCTGTTCTGGTTTGTGTCTATGTGTCCTCCCCAAAGCCTCATGCAGTGCTGAGGTTGCTTCTGGAGTTTGTGATTGATTATTGTGGATGTGGATGCTGCACTTGCCCTGGGGTGGGTAATTTGCATTATAATGAAAGGAAGGAGAGGCTAGCTAGCTACCTACGCAGCTGCCACTGCTTTTGCTCTCTGCTCTTTGCCACCACCACAAAAGGTTGTGCTCTGCCATGTGCCACCCTGTCTTGGAACCACTTGGAGCCAGCCAAGTATGGACTGAAACCTCCAGTAACTGTGAGCTAAATAAATCTTTCTTTCCCTAAAAATATAAAAGAAAAGAAAAAGAAAGGAGATATGTAAACCAACTGCATAGGCACACATTTACAGCACCTCCCTCACTTCTTTTTTTAGCTATAATTTTTCATTATTATTTTTGATAATTTTATTGAGAAATAAATAGCAATGAGACAGTTTCAAAATGGATTAACAGGACATTTTCAATAATTAATACATTGCATATTGTTATCTTCTTAGTGGTGATTCTTAGTACAAGGTATAGACATGATATCCTATCCACAAACACTATTAGAACAAATCTTTCTATTCATTGAATTAAGAGAATGTAGCTCTTTATCTATCTTATTTTGAATATACAGATACAAAATGGTCTTTCATTGGTATCCCCCTTTTTTGTTTAGTTTTGTCAGAGAAAGGTATTCCATTGTCATTTAAATATTGTAGGTGCATGAATTCAGTAAAACATTCCAATATAGTCCAGCAGTCCATAATATTCGTGGGTTTTCCCTAGGACTGGAACCCTTCTCCAATGCTGGTGGGAATGTAGACTGATGCAACCATTATGGAAATCAGTGTGGAGACTCCTTAAAAACCTAGGACTGGAAATCCCATTATTCACTTCTTTTGTAAGACTACTGTGTCTCAAAGGAATGTTGAAAATAATGTAGTCCTGTCCACTCAGGTATTGGAATATTTGAAAATTTGTGTTCACCAATTTCACAAGATTAGGTAAGGGAGAGGCACAACTGTTGTATAGAAATTAAATGTGTGTATTTAAGAGAAATTATAGGGCTGGCCAAATAGCTCAGCAGATTAAAGCACCTGCAAGCAGGTGCAGGGGTCAGGGGTTCGATCCCCTGGCTTGCTGTGCTGGCATCGCCCCTGGGGACACTAAGATGGCAATTGAGACTGGGCATGGTGGCACATGGCTCTCTTCCCAGCACTTTGGAGGCTGTAAGCAGGAGAATTACTATAAGTCTGGTCTAATAGTGAAGCCCTGAACACCCTGTGGACCTTGCCCTAAGATATAGAAAAAAAGGAATTATATAAAAGGATAATGTATCTCATTTTTATTTCACTTTATGTATTCAAAATATATTTAAATTTTGTTAGAAATCTATTAATGTTATATCTTTAAACTCTATCAAAATATATTTGTAATTTATAAGAGGTTGAAGGTTAGGAAACATATGTATGACATTTATTAATAAATAAAATATAAGGCCATTTAGGAATCAGTATTTTATATAGCATGTGACATTCAAATCTCACATACGTTTACATAATTAGAGTACATTGTTACATTGTTTTTTTTTCTGGTCATATCATATAAGCAAACATTGATTTGCTGAATAAGTGAAAGCAGATACAGGGAAAAATAAGAAAGTGGATCAGATTTTGAAAATGGAGAAACAAAAATGTGAAAATACATTTTATAATATGACACTTTTAACATGGGATCCCAGAAGGCAGACTGTGATTGGCAAGTGCTGGGCAGTGGAAATGCCTGGATGTCACTAGTGAGGTATATTTGAGTACAGGTGTAAGCAAACAATGCATCAAGCCAAAATCACACATGAGAAAGGGGTAATGGTTGTTGTTATGATAAAGAATTGTGTTTTTCTCCTTAGGTATATACTGTTTTCTTCTTTCTTCATGAACATGAATAAAATCAAACTTTCCAGTTTTACTTACTTGCGAAACGTGTTTTACTTGGAAGTTACCATTGGAGTTATTGCTAACACAGCCCTGCTTCTCTGTCAAGTCCTTACCTTCCTTCTGGAACACAACCTCAAGCCCGTTGATCAGACCATTGGTCTTTTGGCCCTTATCCATATAGTAATGCTCATAATTGTGGGTTTAATAGCCATGGATACTTTTGAGTTTCAGTATTTTGGGGATGACATCACGTGTAAATGTGTTATCTATTTGTATGGATTGCTGAGGGGCCTCTCCATCTGTACCACCTGCCTGCTCTGTGTCCTCCAGTCCGTCATCCTCAGTCCAAGAAGCTCCTGCTTGGCAAAGTTCAAACAGAAACTCTTGAACCAGAATCTGTGTTGTGTTCTCTTTTTATGGGTCTTCAATATGCTCCTCAGTGGTCGTTTCTTAATCTCCACTGTTGCCACTCCAAATGTGACTTCACATAGTCTCATGTTTGTCACTCAGTCCTGCTCCCTTTTGCCCACGAGTTACATACTCAAGTACATATCTATCTCAGTTCTGAGTTTCCAGCACATGTCCTTTATAGGGCTCATGGTGCTTTCAAGTGGGTACATGGTGCTTCTCTTGTGCAGGCATAGAAGGCAGTTTCAGTATCTTCACAGCACCAGCCTGTTTCCTAAAACATCTGCAGAACAAAGGGCGACCAAGACTATTTTGTTGCTCATGAGTTTCTTTATTATCATGTACGTTTTTGACAGTGTTACTGCCTCTACCTCTGCAATTTTGTGGGACTATGACCCAATTCGTTATTTTGTTCAAATGCTTGCTGGTAATGCATATGCCACAGTAAGTCCTTTGGTGCTAATTAGTACTACAAAAAGAATGATCAAGCTTGCAACACCCATGAAGGGATAGTAAATGTATGTTTATTCTATAATGATTAATTTCTTCAATGATGAGCAGCTACTTTGAATTTTTATTTATCAATGGACTATAATTAATTATGCTTTATCTGCACACATATTTATTTTGATATGGTTTAGTGACAAGCATATAGTAGAGAACTGATCACTTTCAGGGAACATAGGATTATAATTCTAACTGTATGTAGAAGAAATAATACTCTCCTCTTCAAAATGTGAAGAAGAAGACGCTCATTGCTGATGACTGTCTGAGCATAGCCTAAGAGTGAAGATGAAAAAAGTATTCCAAATGTTCAGAATAAACATTTGGGAGCCCATTGTGATTATACATTTGTATATGCTATAAATGTTGGCTTTTAAAGCAGATTTATTTTTCAGTACGAGGGATCAAACTCATGACCTTGTGCTTGCCAGGCAGAAGCTTTAAAACCACTGAACTATATTCCAGACCCACTATGTATGTTGATATTTTTCAGTTTGTATGTTTTCATATATACTTTTATTTCACTTGCACTCAAGAACCTTAATAAAAAGGGAACTGAAATCAAAACAAATCATTGACAATTTGATTACTGTAATAATTCACCAAACAGTGTGTCTGTAATATATTGAACTGACCTATCAATGCAAGTAACTTCTGTGAGAAAATTAAAACCATTGGATGTGTAAAAAATACATAGTCTACAAAGTAAAACTATTATGGTCTTAATTCTATAAATGTAATTCACTATTTTCAGTGCACAATAACAGAAACATATCAAGTTTTGTTGCCTTTTCCCTTGCCAAATTGCACTCATAAAAATCTATATGTAGCAAATATAAAAGGAGGAAATGATAGGTAGAATATCACATAAATTCAAAGCTTTAATTATTTCTTTTTTGAAATCAAAAAATCAACAGTTGTAGCTATTCTTGTATCCTTTACATAACTTGTGCTTGCAAGATTAAGTTTTGATATTATTTTGTTTGAAAAATCAGATTAAATTCATTACACCTAGTCTTGTCATAGCATCATTTTAGAAGCAACTACATATATGCCAAATCCACAATATTTCACAACTACCCACCTTTTATATGCAATACAGAATTTCTGAGATGTCAATTTGTGAGTCTTATTTCTAAACATGCCCCATGTGAATAGTGTTGATGTACATCATCCCTCAAACCAGTCAGTATAAAAGCCTCAAACTCTAAGCTTTGTAAAAATTAAAATAAACATTCATTTAATAACTTATGAGTATTTACACAAATAATTGTAATTCCAGAATCCACATACAAAAAGTTTTCTAAAACTAGAATATTAAGGAAATCAAAGCTGTTTTGCCCCTTAGACATGGAAAGATAACTTACGTAATTTATTTATGTTGCCTGACAGGACAGGGTACAGAGTTTTTAATCCTTTATTCTTCCAGTAGCAACTGGGTGGAAAAACTGAGTGCCCACCTTAATTAGATCTTTCAGCAGAAGGATGTGTGGCATGACACATGGCAAAAGAGATAGCAGAGGCAGTCTTGTAGCTTGAATGTGTTTTTTAGTGCAAGTTTTTATTTTCCATGTCATTTGATTGTCATTTTTCAATTAGTGTGATTAAAGCATCCTGTTAGTGTACCACAGGAGAAAAATAACTAAAAATACATCTCAGGAATTCCCTTTCTTTAAGAATACCTTAGATTAAGGACTTGCATATGTAGAAGTGACTATTTTAGTATTATAGCATAATTCAAATTAGAGTATCAGTAGAAGTCAGTGAAAACACTAAATGTAAACAAATCAGAAATTAGAACCATATATATATAATGAACATAACTAATATCAAAAAAATAACAAGTACTTATGAAAAGTGTAAAATTGAAATGCAAATTTGAAATCTGTAATTTAAAAACTACGGGTTGAGTTGCAGTTCTGCTATGGTGTTATCTACTCTTTATGTTAATTTCATCACAAGTTTTTAATAAAAATTTAGCATGAATTTCCCCTAGGACCCTGTGAAATGAAAATCAGACCACTGTGAAAAAAGTGAACACATGCAGATGTATCTTACCGCTATCAGTTTGCAACTTCTTTTCAATTACGTATTTCTTTCTCTCTCATGAATTCAACTGTTTTTGGTAACAGAAATAGCTACTCCTGAGCAGAGGAAAGAGAAGAAAAGGCCTATAAGGCTCTAAGTGTCAGGAAGGGAATTCCAGAGAGCATCAAACTAGAGAAAGGATCTCTAAAACTGTGTATTTGCATATGTCATTGCAAGTATCTGTATTAACCCAGATACATATGGGCCAGATTTAAACAAAGAGCTGTGCTTGTACACACACAAATAGAATATTGAAAGGAAGCAGCGTGAGATTTTCGGACTTATGTGCAAACATGAGAAGCATAGAATTCTTTATCCTATTGTTAAAATATAATCTAATTTTTAAATGTTCTTTATCATATTATGTAGGGACTTAAGGTTCAACATATCAATACTTGATGAAAAATACCTGTTCCTTATTATGCCTAAGATGTTTGAAATGCAGTGAGATAGTGAGGTTAAGCTTGATAGCGTAAATCATTTGATAATAACAATAAGCTTGTCTTCTGGATGGTTAACAACCTAAGTTCGCAGACCAAAATTAGAGAAAAAGGAGGGCTACAAGGAAAGCCAACATTTTGGCCCTACCCTTCTAAGGTCAATTAAGACTCAGGACATATGAGAACTTGTACTGTAACGTCAAGTACCTCGGTAGTGTCCCAAATTTTCTGATCAAGAAGATAATGGGGACAAAGAGGAAAGTGATCGATGACGTAGAGTGTGCCTAAGGAGAGTCACATGGGGAGAAGACACTCTCTCAGGCTTTCACAGAGAGCACATAGGCCAAGCATTGGCCGTGACTCATTCACATGGCTGACACTGACAAAGGTTCTACAATCTGAGGTACAGGATCTCAAGATAAATCCTGAGGGCATTTCACTGACCTTGTCAGACCAAAAAGCTACAACTCTTGTTGCACAGGTCCTGCTTTACCTTGGTCTTAACCATCCAGTAGAAAAGTATGAAGATGAAATATAGGAAGTAAAGCCATGTTGTTATGTTGAGCTGTGGGGGACTCAGGTCAATAATTTCTGACATTGCCAGTTAAACAGAAAACCCAATGATATTATGGGCTTCTGTACTCTTTTAGAATATTTTGCTGAGTTTACACACCTATAATATTCAACAACGGAACTTAAAAAAAATTGGGGTATAACTATGAATGTCCATTTTGTATCTGTGTATTCAAAGTGGTTGGGATAGATATATAGTTGCATTCTCTTAATGAATAGAATGATTTTTTCTAATGGTGTTTGTAAGTAGGATCACAAGTCTGCATCTTGTACAGCAATTAACCACTGAGAAGAATGTATGCAGTGTATTATTTGTTGAAACTGTACTTTCGATTTGATTTGAAACTGTCTCATTGCTATATGTTTATCAATAAAACTTTAAAAGAAAAAAAAGAAAGGAAGCAGCTATGTGAAACAAATAATACAGAGTGTCTTTTAAAAAATATTTTCCTGACCATTAGGAAAGGATTAACAACAAAGTATAATACAAAGTCCTATGATGTGATTTAAAATCTTCCACTGTAGAGAAGAATTTAATATGGTTAAACAGAGGAGGAGCCATGTTAGAGTTACTCAGAGAATATAGACTAAAAATCACAGGCCACTGGAAACAATGAAGAGACATACATGTTGATGTCAAAATCATTCTGAAATAAGAGATTTGTAGATCAAACAAAGCACAGAAAAAGGCCTTTATAAACTAGCAGATAAGTTCACAGGGCTGCCAATGGGATTGCCATCTGCATGTGGAGCAGGGACTGCCATTCTGTGAAGTTTCCAAAAAACTTGTGGAATGCAATAGTCTGGCTAACTGAAGTTACACAGGGCAGATTTGGGATATAGGTTTTCCTTTGGGATATAGTTTTTCATTCCTGCATAGAGTGGCCACAAATTTCTGCTGGCACACATAGGGGTGAATAAACAGGAAACTAATCCCTCCAAAACAGATGCAAGTTTCTGGAATTCTTGTTTATTTCATATGTCAGTAACTTACTTGAACCTTCAGGGACAAGGTCAGGGACTGTAACAGTGGGTGTGAATATTGTGAGTGCGATAGCATAGCATGACCACTCCTGCCCTGTGAACAGTGAGTGGCTCAAAAGAGCAAAACATGCGATTTAATCAACCTTGATCCCCACAGAGCAATGATTGGGAGGTAAGCACTCCACCTGCTAAAAAGGAGACTGAAATGGAACAGGCAAACCATGGCATGTCTCAACAACAGCAGCATGGGGCAGTGAATTATCTGACATCACTCTGTCTCCCACCGCCATCCCACAACATGCCATTGGAGAGGACAGAGATGTACCAGTGGAAGGGAACAAAGGAAGCTGTAAAAGACCAGGAAGAGTCAACAGTACACAGAACTGAGAGGAACTCTGCGCTATCTCCATTTGAGGGCACCACAGCAACTAGGAGAGTGATGCAGACACAAATTGGGTAAGCAGATGTGTATAGACCATGGAAAAACACACAAAGTTTCTGGCTCAAGAACGCCCCCTCAGACCAAATACCTCAGAGGATTAAAGCACCTGCAAGCAGGAGTAGGGGCACGGGGTTTGATCCACAGGCCTGCAGTGCCAGCCCCACCCCTGGGGCACGTTGAGAGGGCAATTGAGA